TGTCCAAAAATGGTTTATGTGCATTATGCGCCTGAAGAGACAAAGCAATGCTCACACTTTGGAACCGGTGATCATTGCAGAGTTTGTGAGGCACCCAAACACCTTCTTTATGGAGTTTTCCCATATTCCTTATATGTTTATGTAGTGTTTCATGAGAGACTTGCATTTCACGAGTGTGTTGCCTTGGGTTAGACTCAACCATCATCATCAGAGCATCAATATTAATTCCAACATGTCGGCCCCTGCCATCACAGTTTTTAAGGCCAAAGTCACCTGAATGAAATTTGCTGAACCATTGTTGACACGTACGAACGTTCAAAACATTTCCATAATATTCTTTGTCGCTACAGAGGCATTGTTTCCCCTTTTTTGTATTCAAACAGCATTACATACCGATTGTCTGTCTCATCAAGTGCCATCACTATAAGGGATTAGAGTATACTGAACTTTACACACTATATAGGCTACACTAACGTGACACTTAGGTGGTTCATTTAACAATTATATGTGATGAAAGTGTTCTAAAATGCGACGTTAATTTCTTGATGACCTAATATATTGGGTAACATATAAAATATTTTATCTGTTTGAGAGTCCATGTAAATTTAGATGTTTTTAATTCAAAATTGTGTCAGTGTTTAATGTTCAATGAGTTATAAAATAGTCATGGTTCTGTTTCATTAAGGTAATTAAAGTTAGGGTGGGTCTAGTCATAATTGTGTTGGGATGGACTTTGATATCTAATTTTTGGGGAACCTGAATTTTAAATAAATTGTTGTATTGTACTCAGAATAGTTTTTGAAAGAGAGTGTAAATGTTTAAATTGCTCTATAGTTTCCTTTAAACCATCAAATTATTCTTTGCAACAGGTCTGTGGGTCATCTTTCAATCTAATAGGATACATTGGAAGCTCGTTACTGTATAATAACTTACAAAACTTGTTCAGTGTCTAAAGATCATTGTTAATATTAATATAAGAAACAACATAGAAAAGTAAGTATTAGTGTAGTCATATATCTGTCATAAAGCAACCATATATTTTTTTTTAGGATTTTGAAGATTGGGATGATGTTGGACTAAACATTCCGAAACCTCCAGAACTTTTATCTTTGTACAAAAACTATTGTAAATACAGTGGGTTAGGAAGAGATGTGTGTAGCAGTGGGGTACAGACAGAAACTGAAGAAAAGTATTTTTCAGAGATTGGGCTAGTAAGTTTAAAGTTTTACATTTTGATACAAATTATCTGAAGTCTAGAAATATTTTTGTGTTACAGATACACTTTGGTGCACTTCAGTTGACCTAAATCAACCTAAATAAAGTAAGGCCTTGAGTGATGCATGTTTCACTACATTGTACTCATAGTACGCTATAGCTTTTTGAAGAATGAAACATTGCACGTTGTAAACACCTTAAACTTGAACTTGTATTCATATGAAACCAATACCATCAAATAGTTAATGAAGATCAGATAAATTTTGTATCAGCACAAATAAGTTTCAATGAAAACAAAAAGTTTCTGATAAGGTACATTACTCCACTATTCTCGTTCAGTGCTGCCCTCTATATGCAGATTTTTTTTCGCATGGCACAAGTCTTGAGCTCCCACATATCCCACAATCAATGCGGTTCAACTGCATCTTACATGCAAATCATCATGCGATAACCTTCCACAAATAGGAGTGTGATACACCCTTCTGATGCATGTGATTCCCTCAATTCGATTCTACCGAACTATCACTTCTCGTTTCGTAGTGCTATTGTCAAGATGTTTTTGTTGTCTTCCCACATTTTTTTTTGCAATTTCATATGAAGTGGAGATATTTTTTTTCCTACTTCACTTTACCAGTTTTAAGTGATAACTTACCTTTATTGTTTTTCACTGAAGCTTGTGTTACCATTTACTTCCAGCACAATTACTCAGGCTTGATGTCTTTCCACACTGGGCATAGAGTATACCTAGTACAGAAGTGGTGTGGTCTCTCATGTATGATCCTATACTGTGAGGATCCCCCCTTTTAGGGTGTTCTTCATACGCTTTTGAAGGATGCTTTTTTCTTTCCTTTGCACCAGTCCCTCCACCTATCCTGCCATAGTTCTCTCCCACTTGGAAGTGTTCCTCTGTTTTTTCCACCCATATATGCAACATATTTCCACGATGGGAGAAGAGTATACCTGGTTCAGAAGTGGTGTTGTCTACCACATCAGATCTTTGATTCCAAAGATCTCCTTCTGGGGAGTGTCCTTCTGAGGCTTTCAAAGGATGCTTCTTTCTTTCTCTCGCACTAGTCCCTCCACCTGTTCAATGTGGGATTCTAGCTATTTATGTTAGCGGAGGTAATGTACCTTATTGAAAGTTATGATTTTCCAATACTGAAAATTTATTTCTGGTAGGTACTTACCTCCTCCCCACTGAAAACCAGTGCTTCCTTTTTGTGCCAAAACTTGAAGTGATAGTTCAGTAGAATTGAAAAGAGGGAGTCACATGTATTAGGGGGGGGGGGGTGCTCCTATTGGTGGAGAGTTGTCTCATTATGATTTGCTTGTGAGATGCAGTTGAACCTCATTGATCGTGGGGTACGTGGGAGTTCAAGGTTTGTGGCATGTGAAAAAAGTTTTTTGCATATAGAGGGCAGCAATGAATGAGAACAGCTATTTATGTGAGAGGAGCATAGAAAATTTATAACTTTCACACTATGCTTCAGAAAATATGTCTGATCTCATTTAGAGTTTGACACTTACATAAGATATAACAAGCAGTCATTACTTGAAATTTGTTTATAAGCATTGGATGGGACTAATTTAAATATACCAATTATTTTTTTTTTGCTGAGCTTCCACAAATGAATTTCTTTGTAATTTTGGATCACAAATAAAAAAATATGTTTAGACAGTCTTTCAGTTTCATAAATTTATAACTAGACTTTGTGAATATGTATTAATGACTTAGAATGCTATGTTACTATTGAATGTGAAAAAGAGTCATATTATACTACAAATGTAATTTCATTCAATGTCATGGCTAGATATAAATTTACTTTCTGTTTTAATCATGTATCCCAGTGTTGATCAAACACTATTTGTGATAGCAGTCTAGCGATAGTCTTAATTTCTCATTCTTTGTATCAGAAGCACATTTTATTTGATAAGTATATCTGGTTTAGTTTAACACTGACTTTTCAATGTTTTAAATAGTTCAAGCCCTAGTAAAATCAATCAGACTTACTCATTATATATTTGAAAAAAAAATTTGTTTTATAAACGAGTTAAAAACAAATTGCACGAAACAGTAAAACGTTCAGTGTTAAAGATAGGAAATTATAGGTACTATTAAAAAAAAGTGCAACAGATTGAACAGAGATTGTGAAACTGTAGTTAGATTCTGTAATAGTTGTAACCTGACAATGATAAGGATACCTAAATAACGTAAAGAAATACAGTGAGAAATAATTCAAAATGGAAGACTGCCAACCAGTAACTGTGTTGAACAGTGAAGAGACAAGCTTGACACACGTCTTTGATTTCATACATTCTTATTTTTTTTCATTATGCTATTCTTTTTACTTTGCTATTAAAGAATATATTTCTGTTTGATTTTTTCAATTTGTGAATTGTTAGTTTTGTCAGTAGTTGAATTCCAAGGCTAAGTAAAGCAGTGTGTATTAAAGATTATTCAGATAGGAAATTAATTTGAAGAATCTTAAAAAATTTTAAAAACAGTTACCAAATCATTCAAAAATAGCAAAAAAAAGCTGATCAGTTTAAAGAGTTTATCAGTGTTTTCTTCTATTAGTTGTCATGTCTGTTACATATAGTCTTTGGTCTTATTCAAAACTTGTTTTTTTTTAAATATTTGTGTTTTGAACTTGAGAACCTAAGAACATGCAATAATGTTGATGATAAAACAGAAATTTTTAACTAAAGTAGTGTAAAAATGTAAACTACATTATAAGCAGTAGTTGAAAAAAGTTTGTCTGGAAATCTGTTAAAGATGGGTTTTGTCTTCAGGAGGAAGAGTACGAGAAACTTAGAGAGCTGGTGAAGAGACTAAATGAGGAAAATGACCATCTTATGTTACAAGTTAAGAGTCTACAGAGGTAATTTAATTCATTAAAATTGTGCCAAGTTTGTTGAATTTCAAGTGGATAAAACTTAACCAATTTTATGACTAATTTTATCTGTTTAGGAGTTAAATGAATCACAGGATGTGCTATTTTTGTTTTTCAATTTATGTGTATGTTTATTTTACAAAAATTGAGTCATATGTTTAATTTTTGGAACTATGTTTCCAATTTTTCATATAATAAGAATTAACTCTCTTAATCCCATAATTTTTTTTGCATTCTACCAGAATTATTTTCATGATGTCCTAATAATTATCACCGTATCTTATAAAATTTCTGGTCCAGTTATAAAAGGTATGTTATTATTCAGTTTGGATTAGTTTTCAGCCAAAGAGACACAAATGTTATCAGACGCTGTCACAATCCGATTGGTAAATCAGTATTTTTGGCCAGATATTGGCAGCATTTGCTCGGGTTTAAGGAGTTAACTTAGCCAGTCACCACTCCTGAAATTCTAATTTTACATACTGTAGTGGCTGGTTTTCTTTCTTTCTTTGGCATTGTAGATATGTTTGTTTTTTATCAGATTCTGTGTTAATCTCACTCTGGCTTTGTAAACTGTAAAATGATATGCTGGGCTCAGAAGTCAACTTTAAGGTTGTTTTTTTTACCATCTTGTTTAAAGAATTTTCTTGATTTAGCTACTAAAACTAAAATTGCTATTTTTAGAGAAGTAGAGTGCCACAACAATTTGAAGTCATCAACACCATTGATAACACCAGTTCAAACTCCAAAGAAATTAAATTGGATATCTCAGGTTTCTTGTGACATGACCCAGTCTATGGAAGATAATACCCAGATGGATGTAGTGTCTGTGCCTGAGGATGAAACACCGGATTCCACCAGGTTCCCTGTTGGCTCTGATGTTCATCAACATGAAGCCACCTTGTCTTTAGAAGTAGGGGAACCTACAGAACTTCAGGAGCGACTTAATGACCTCAATGCTAGTGAAACCATTGTAGTGAATCCACGGGTGGATGTGTCAAACATTCGTGGCATCAGGTATTAAGATTGTAGAGCTTAAATCTGATAATAGGTTTTGGGTTAAGATGATGTTGGGATAGCATCTTTTATTGGTATGATGGTAACTGATGTGTCATCAAATGATATTTTTTAAACTAAATTATTTCAAGATATCAGTCTCAGAATTTGTAAGTTATAAATAAGTTTCATGTTGTTATAGTGATCTTTGTGTTTATCAAATGACACAAATTGCAAGACAAATTTTAGTTTTGACAACATATTTAAGTTTTACTAGAGGTGCTAGGATATTTATTTGAAGTTTTTATGTGTAATATCATAAACGCAAGATATGTTAAATTATTTAGTCAAAGAAGTACATATAAATTACATTGAATTACAAAATGTCTACTCATTATTTTACCACTGTTAGTTCTCCAGTACTAATACAAGGCATATGTTGATTATTGTACTGTACAAATCTTAGAGGAAATTTCTTTAAAGTTGTTTCCTAGTTCTTCTTTTGTAGGTTATTTATTTTGAACCATTTTTGTTGTTACAGAAAACTTTCTGAATCATTTTGTCGAGCCTTGATGAGTAATGCTTTAGGTCATAAGATATCACAGGAGAACAGACTTATCAATGAAGTAGCTGAACTTGTGGATTCATGTGAGAAAGTTGTTTTAATGTTGGGTCGCTGCCTTCCTCACATTGTTCCAAATGTCATCCTGGCAAAGCGAGAGGTATGGCTATGATCCAGAATGTGCTGTTTCACTTTATAAATTGTGGAAAGGTAATAGGTATTTTACACAAGTTTGAACTGTGTCTATTTAAATATGCCATCACAATTATATTCAACATTAGGTTATCTATTGTTAAGCATATTAAACAGGCCTGATGGCTCAGGATGTGTATTATTTCATCCAAGAAAGTAATGATCTGATGGTTTAGGTTATGTATTACATCATCCAAAAATGTCATGGTCTGATAGCTCAGGATATGTATTACTTCACCCACCCAAAAAAAGTCGTGGTCTGATGGCTCAGGATATGGATTACTTCATCCAAGAAAGTCATGTTCCAAATACGGTACATTACCTCCACTCGCATAAATAGCTATTCTCATTCAGTGCTGCCCTCTATATGTAAAAACTTTTTCTGCACATTTCACAAGCCTTGAATCTCCCACTCATTTGGAATTGATTGATTCCAATGCATCTCTCATGCAAATCATCATGTGACAACCCTCCACCAATTAGAGTACAACATTCTCTCTTGATGCATGCGACTCCATCTATTCAACTCTACAGAACTATCACTTCAAGTTTGGCAGTACTCATGTTATAACGTTTAGTTTGTGCTTTCTTCAAGTATTTTATTTTAATATTTTTCTGTATCTTTGTATTAATTTCTTTCAACAAGTTTACTCTTTATTAGACAACAGTGATATTTGTAACTTGAGTTATTCTGAAGTGGAATTATTTTATATTTCTACCTGGTTATGGATCTTATTACTTCATCACAAAAACTTTTTATTTGTTTCTGCCAAAACAGTTGTGTTTGGTTATTCATTTTGTATTATGAATTCTATGTTACCAATTCGGAGGTTCTATGTTCTATTAACATTTACACTAGCTTCATGTTGCGGTACTCCGTGGGAAGATTTTCGGTTTTATTTTATCGTGAGATTGATCGTTTAATGAACTGACTTTCATCAGGCCTCGCCTCGAGTTTGGGGACCCACACATTTGAAATACAGTCCTCTGACCTTGGAAAGATAAATTGTTCTACTGTTATGGTTTTTGAATAAATTTATTGTTAATATTATTATCTGTAGTTATTTGGGTTCCATAACATAAGTTTTGTTAGATTGTTTAATGCTCATAGTCAAGTTTAGGTTAGCAGTTAGTCTTAATTGTATCTTTTCTCCTATATCATGCACTTAGGCTTACCATGATCTTTGTTATTTTCAGATTACCTGTAATTTATCTCACTGGTATATCAATCATTAATTTAACTGTATTGTTTTTTCTTCCATACATATGTTATTGTTACTATGCACTTCCTTAATTTTATACCATCACGTCTATTTCATTTTCATTTCTCTTTCTTCCTATTCACTTGGTTTATGTGGAATTTTTGAGATGAGGTTCACACAAACATCTCCCAATATTGTACATATTGTTTGGTTAAGTTTTTATTTTAGTGCTTAGTGATATATTTTGTTTTGTATTATTCAATTAGGCTTCACAACTGTTTATTTTTAGTTTATGTGTAGTTCTACTTCTGAGTCCCACCTCAATCACTTCTTGGGTCTTCCCTCTTTTAATATGTCATTTTCAATCACATTTTGGTAGGCTGTTTCTGCAGGACTGAGAATGCCACAGTACACGTTTTTGTCTTTGTTTTTTTTCCCACGAGATTAGGTACAATTTTTGTGCCTTGACCTTGAAACTTGTTTTGATTCCATGTTTTTTGTGGGGTGGTCTGTGTTTTACCCGACTTCCACATTGGGAGGATTTTACCAGTACCATTCATTGGATGTCTAGCTTTGGTTAGCTTCTTTTAAACGGGGGTAGTCTTAACATACTCTTCTACTCCATCCACAGTCGGCTCGGGTAGCTGGATTGTCTAGTTGGATGAGTTTTCCCGTTACATACCTCACATTCTAGTCTCTTTGGGGGTGGGTATTTTTAAACACCCCCTCCATCGGGACCATTTATTCTTCTCTTGAATGCATTTGAAGGTGTTTTCTGTTATCTGAACCTTTACTTTGGGTTTTCCCTCTTAATTTTCATCCTTCCCTCTTCGTCTATATGCATCGATAGTTGAACATATCTAAATGATGTCAGGTTTACCACTTCCTCCCCCCTCTTCTAGATTGTTTCTTTTCTCTGATACTCATCTCCAAAGGTGGTGGGAGTGGTTCTATCAGTAGAAGACTTCAGGATAATGGTCTCCAGTCAATAAGTCTTATCCCCTTCACACCCAGACACTTCCGCCAGTCCAAGGTGCTTTAATTCACACTATTCTTCTTGTCTGATTTGACTAATCCTGTTTCATTTCGACTTTTTGATGGTGGTGGCTTATATCACTCGCCAAGGGGACACTCTTTCTTGTTTCCTTTGAGGTAAACAGTGGATTTTCTTCTATTTTTTTTGAACCCACACACTTGACATACGTCTTCTGGAGGGTCGTGTGCTGTGTTCCTCATTGCTAATTGATTTTCCAGTCCTGACACACTTTCTCCCAAGGAGTGACCTCTCAATCCTCCTAATTTTTTGGGGCTCTGTCTCCAATGGGGAACTGTTCCATAGAAAGTTTTTGAATCTTTTATCACTTTCCAGTTAGTTACATCTTTTGTGTTGTGGTCTCTGGTTCATCATCCACTTGCTTTGGTTGTTGTTAAGTTCAGATACGTTTACATTATCTGATTCTTATTCCATCAGTCTTCTTCCTTAATTATGTGTATTCATGTCCCTCTGGTTCAGGTCTTTCTTATTGATCTTTCCTGGCTGGTACTGCTTTGGTTTTCTTGTCTGTTTCGGCTCGATTTGTTTCTTTGTTCTGGATCGATTTTTTATAGTAACTCATGTATTATATATCTTTCAACTTTTCATTTCTTACCCTCTTCCACATTTCTTCTCAGTGAGACCCAGAGAACCTTCTCTGTCCAGTACATGTTGTGGGTTGCTTCATTGGATTGCAGTTGACTTACCAATGGTATGATCTTCATTCTACACACACATGGATGTCAGTTCCCAGCAGCATGGGTTTTGTATCCAATTGACTTGCAGTATACAGTCCGTTGCACCCTAGCCATTCTACACCTAGTGTCACATCCTTTTAATCTTACCCACTTTTATGTTTTCTGGGATTGAGTTTCATAAATATTGTATGGTTTGGATCCCTATCCTGCCATAGTTCTCTCCCACTTGGAAGTATTCCTCTGTTTTTTCCACCCATATATGCAACATCTTTCCACGATGGGAGAAGAATATACCTGGTTCAGAAGTGGTGTTGTCTACCACATCAGATCTTTGATTCTGAAGATCTCCTCCTAGGGAGTGTCCTTCGGAGGCTTTCAAAGGATGCTTCTTTCTTTCCCTCACACCGGTCCTTCCACCTATTCAATGTGAGATTCTAGCTATTTATGTGAGCAGAGGTAATGTACAGTACCAGAAGTTATAATTTTCTTATACTGAAAATGTATTTCTGGTAGGTACTCATCTCCTCTCATACTTCCCACCTTTCCTCCCTGCCGAAAATCATGATCTGATGGCTCAGGATATGTATTACATCATCCAAGAAAGTCATGGTTGGATGGTACAGGATATGTATTACATCATCCAAGAAAGTCATGGTTTGATGGCTCTGGATATGTATTGCATCATCCAAGAAAGTCATGATCTGATGGCTACAGGATATGTATTACATCATCCAAGAAAGTCATGGTTTGATGGCTCAGGATATGTATTACATCATCCAAGAAAGTCATGATCTGATGGCTCAGGATATGTATTACATCATCCAAGAAAGTCATGATCTGATGGCTCAGGATATGTATTACATCATCCAAGAAAGTCATGGTTTGATGGTACAGGATATGTATTACATCATCCAAGAAAGTCATGGTTTGATGGCTCTGGATATGTATTGCATCATTCTAGAAAGTCATGGTCTGATGGCTCAGAATATGTATTACATCAGTTTACTATGCTGGTTTGGACTGCATATAAAGTGCATGCTAAATTATTTGAAAACACAGATGGTAGTTATTAATACTTTTGATATTTTATTTTAACAAACACTCAATAAAACGTACTCAGTACAAAGTGCAAAAAAGAAAACAGTTACTTGTATGGTATACAACACCGAAAATGGTAACAAGATGCTTGCTTTGTCATTTTACACCATGCAACCTTATCTCTCAAATTATATGTCTAAATATTAGTGCTTTTTATAGTATTATAGCTCATTTGGCATGAATGGGTATGATATTAAGAAAAATTCCTTGTTACTTGCAGTCTCTACTGATGAATTAAGTCTAAAATACACAAAACCTTGTTGGAATACAATTATTAGATGTTTTACATGAGGCCTCTACTGATAAGTGTGATATAGATTAAGTTATTACCAGTGTTTCACATTTTAGCACTTGTTCTTCAAAACCACTATACAGACAGAACCTGAAGTACGGAAAACATGAAATGAAAGAGTGTGTTTTATTTGGCTTGGGTTTTTGTATGGTATTTATTGTTAGTTGATATTATTACTTCATTCTTATATTTCTGTATGATTAATTTGTTTCTAATGTGAGCTCAGTTTCTGTTTTAATAGTAATGTTTGTAAAACATCGTTATGGTGATGAGGTGACAGACATTCAATAGAAGTATTAAATTGTAAGTCCTTTTCTCTGGAATGAAATTTTTTTCTGTAATTGTGTTTAGAAGTATACAACAATCAGAATTTTCCAAGGTTTTTAAATTTTATTTTAGGAATTAATTCCCGTTATACTCTGTACTATTGGACTTCACCCTTCACCAAGAGACAGAGACAAACTTCTGAATATTCTATTCAATCTTATCAAAAGGCCAGATGAGGAACAGAGGTAAAAAAAAAGGATATATTTTTTTAACTATTTGTTTTTTTTTCATTACTTCATTTAGTCACAAATTGTTATAATAAAAATAGTGGTTTAATAATAAAGTAAGTTTTATTGCAAGTTGACTTTTAATTAATTGTTGTTTTATTAGCACAGTAGCTACTGCTTAATTAATTCACTTGTCTTGAGGCTCCAGCTCACATTTTAGTGACATAATACCTATAGAAAAATAAAATAACTGTTTTAAAAGTTTGAACTACTGTGTGTTGACTAGTTAAAGGTATGTAAAAGAATAACAACTCCATATTTGTCCTTTCTATTAAAGTGGTGTTATGGAATTTAATATAACCATAAATTGTTGTTGTAGTAGTTCTGTAGGTAAAGTAATTTATAAAAAAGCTGAAATTGAGATAAAAGAAACAGCTGGTAGTGACACAATAATATTTGTAAAACATCGAGATTTTATTAATTTCACATATCCTTGTTTTTAACAAATTAATACACTTCTAAATTTGATGATTAATTTTAACATTTTGATTAAGGAACAGGAAGAGGGCAGGAACATCAGTTAATCATTGATAGATAAAGGAAGTACGAATTTTGAGAAGTTAATGAATAATTAAAGATTAATAATTTTGCAGTTTGGAGAATTTCTACTAACTTTGGTCAGTGTTCAGGTTATTTTTTTCCCAATTAAGTTTATTTTGCTGAGAATAAAATAAACATTACTGTATCTTAATTATACAAGTTTTTGTATTTTAAAGAAAAACTTCAAATTTTGAATTTCCATTAAAACGATATCATTATTGTTGGAAATAAAAACAAACAACTATTAAAATTTTCTACCTTAGTACTTGAGACAGATGTCAAAATTGCAGAAGACCTTTTTTTAATATACTAAAGTATATATATATATATATATATATATATTTGTGTGTGGTGCTACAAACAAGCTAAAAAACAAGAAATTTAACTGTAGAAGTTTTAAAATGATATTACTTAAAAGTGTATTGAGACTTCATTTGTTTATAGAGATATTATTATGTATCAATAAATACTTTTATTGTTTTCAACTGTTACATGTGAGTTCATGAAATAATGAACTTCTGAACTATTTAGTCATGATAAACTTATTACATTCTAAAAAAAGCAAAATATAAAATATCATTAATTTATTCAACATTCCACCAAGAATACGTAATACAAAAAAATTACCTCAACTGTATGCAGCTATTGGTTGATGAAAATTTTTTTTCTGACAAATCTGCAGCACAAAAAGTTGACAATACATTAAAGAAAAAATCACAGGTGGGAGCTACCACTGGGGAGTCTTTAAAGTGGGAGTACCTGCTTTTTTTTTTTCAGTTGATATTTTGATCAGACATTTTCATACACAATATATGAAATCGTTATATAATCCAGAGCTACTTTTTGAAAGCTCTCTTAAATAGCCAATTCACTAAACACCAACTACACAAAAGGTTTGCCTGTTTTCTGTTTTAGATTAAACGTTTCTCTACATGTTTAGGTGTAATTGCCAATCAAATTTTGGTATCAAAAAAAGTTAGAGGTTTCTATGACATAGGTAAAGATTGATGGAAAAACATTTTATGAGATACTGATCTCTTTATTACCAATTTGCTTTATCAAAACACTTCATTATGAATACAATGTTAACTTGACAATTATATCCCAGTCTAAAATTAAAAATAGATAGGCTCAAGAATTCTATTTCCTTCCAAACATGCTGAAAATTCTCCAGACACTAATGAAGCTGTGCTGTGTATCCAACTTGCACAGCAACTGGAGAATTTGAATCTTTATTTATGCACTGGTGTTAAGTACCATTACAAAGTATACATTAGCACGATTCTTAGAACACTGGTGTTAAGTACCATTACAAAGTATACATTAGCATGATTCTTAGAACACTGGTGTTAAGTACCATTACAAAGTATACATTAGCACGATTCTTAGAACACTGGTGTTAAGTACCATTACAAAGTATACATTAGCATGATTCTTAGAACACTGGTGTTAAGTACCATTACAAAGTATACATTAGCACGATTCTTAGAACACTGGTGTGACAGAGACACTAACTAT